AAGCCAGACATACGGCTGTCAACGAATACCTGGTACGATGTTTTCAAAAGGCTGGTATCCCGGTTATAAAAGAACCCATGGGTTTGATAGAGGAAGGAGCCTTTAGGCCTGATGGTTACACTATCACCCCATGGGCTCAGGGACGGTCCCTGGCTTGGGACGTTACCTTACCCCACATTATGGCTGACCGATATATCGGCTACACTTCAGTGGAGGCGGGCACTGCTGCCCTTAAAGCGTCCGATTTCAAAAATGAAAAATACGTTTCATTAAACAATTTAAGCAAAATATTTCAACCCATTTGCATTGAAACGTTCGGACCAACAGATAAGCACACATCATTATTTATTAACGAATTAACAAGAAAAATAGTTAATATAACGGGTGATCCTAACGAAGGCAATTATTTAAAACAAACTCTTTCACTTTTATTACAAAAATTTAATTCCCTTTGCATTCTGGATGGAGCTGCTAGATACCTGACTGTGCGAGACCAGGGACATAGATAAAAGTTGAACTCGGAAACGATTGCATGCCTAACCATGGCTTGTTCATCAAAACGAGTTCATACATACATACATACGAACAAACGAACATACATACATACATACATACATACATACATACATACATACATACACACACACACACATACATACATACAAATTTCCATTGTTTGAATGGATGTCGTGTGCCCGACGACATAATTTCTTCCATATAAAACAACAGCAACAACAAAAATGTCATCGCTAGCAGAAAAAAACTACAACACCGGCAGCAACGACAACAACAAAATCAACAACAACAAAGGTTTAATAGTAATAAGAAAAAAAAGAATTAATGAAGAGTTAATTAATAAAAAATTAATGAGAAATAAACATACATACATAAGTTGAATGTACACATGCGTACCTACAAACACACACACATATGCACATATACATGCATGCGTCTAATGCATTAGCTTTTAGGTGATTGTTGTAACTTGTCCATTCTTCTTAATTTTTCCTTCTTTTGGTAATATAAAATCACAAATATAAAGTGTGAAATGAGCTGTGTTAACCTATAGGTAAGCCAGGGATTGAGTTAGGTTTTCGGTTTGAGCAGTTAAAACTGATCGTGTGTAGGCCATTCAGTCGAACTGTGTACAGTCCTCAAAACTGGCTTGTGCAAATTCAGATTCATCCTGAAGTTATAACTGAACTGAGCAAAACGTTTGGCGTGTGTAGCAAGCAGAGTTAAGCTGCGCAGATTTAACTTAATTTTATCATCACATCCCTGTCGCTATGTAGGCTGTTGCTAGGAACGAAATTAGAAATTGTTCCGTTTCGAATGTTCTGTTTTAGGTTCGTACTCTGTGAAATAGTTTTAAATTAAATAATAAATCCAGTATTATTAACTAAATTTAAAAAATTCCAAATTTAAAATCTAAAATGGTTAAAATAAAGTTTAAGTAATTAAGTATAAGTAACAATTTAAAACTTATTACGCAGATTTCACGCATACAATACAAAAAACAAACACATACAAACAAATACGAACAAGTCGTTCATGATGGGCAGTTTTTAAATATTAAATGAGATGTACTAAATAGAGAATTGCATATTTTTATATATAAGCATATAAATATATATAATACTATAATTATATATATATATATATATATATATATATATATAATTAGGAAGAAGACCAAGTTCTATACAGTTGTTCAAAAAATCTACCGACGATTCAGCATTAACAAGTTTTATGGTTGATTTTCTAATATTTTGAACTAGTTCTTTACAATTAAGTCTATTCAAAATGTTGAAATCCATTTTATAATCGTTTTTGCGTTTTTTATTTCGTTACTTTTATTTTATTTTAATATATTAAAAAAAAATACAACTAATTAACTATTAATAGAATTTATTTAATGATAATGATAACGATAATGATAATAACAATAATAATAATAATAATAATAATGATAATAATAATAAAAATAATAATTAATAATAATAATAATAATAGAAACGATATTCTAATTAATTTCGCGCTTCAAATTTGTGACATTGTTGGTTGCCATCTTGACAACGGCCACGTAGCATGAACAATCGTATAATTTCAAATATTTTGTTTACTAATTTCAATGAACCTTTGCGTTTTTTATTTCGTTACTTTTATTTTATTTTAATATATTAAAAAAAATACAACTAATTAACTATTAATAGAATTTATTTAAAATATATATTGCACTGATGATGACTTTACGTCGAAATAGATCTATATGCATAATTTTAATAATAATATAAAAAATAAACGATTATAAAAATGGGATCTTGCTTGATTAATTTTAACAATTAAAATCATAAACGATTATAAAATGGATTTCAACATTTTGAATAGACTTAATTGTAAAGAACTTGTTCAAAATATTAGTAAATCAACCATAAAACTTGTTAATGCTGAATCGTCGGTGGATTTTTTGAACAAATATATATATATATATATATATATATATTATCCTTTGCCGATGATGTTCGTTTCAAATGGAGATGGAAAAATTTGTGAAACGTTTGGCGGCTATTGATTTATGGATGTCGCAGAATGGTTTAAAACTGAATCAAAATAAAACTAAACTTCTACCGCTAGGAACTCGGCAGCAATTTGCCGGATTGGAGATGAACTCAATTGCAGTTAATAGTGAAAGAATTTTGTTTTGCAACAATGTAACTAACTTGGGTGTTGCGTTTGATTCAAATCTAACATTCAAGTACCATATCAGGATGTCGTCAAGAGATTGCACGTATCAGATAAGAAGAATTAATCAAATTCGTGGATCATTAAACGTTTAAACACATCAGACTCTGGTACATGCCGCTGCTCACTCGAGGATTGACTGCTGCAGTAGTCTGTACCACAAAAACAGGCTATAAATATATCAACAGACGTTTTATGTAACTATATTGAAAGTTTGCATGAGATTACAACATTGACAACGACTACTACTACTACTACTACTACTACTACTACTACTACTACTACTACTATTACTACTACTACTACTAATAATAATAATACTAATACTACAACTACTACTACCACAACAACTACAATAGTAGTAGTAGTAATAATAATAATAATAGCACCAACGGATAGACGATAATATAATTTTAACCTCTGAGGTATGTAACTACCAACACCGATGTTAAAACTTCGAAGATCTCTATTCTTCCAACAGCAGTTGTAGTTGCTTCCAACGATCGTCAAGTGTTCGTTACTCCGTAGGTACAACATTTCCGATGGATGAATACAACTGCTTCAAGCGCAAACTTTGTTGAACGTTTGAATACCAAGAGTAATAGAAACAATGAACTAATCCAAGTAACTACATAAATCACATTTACGACTTTGCTTCAAACCTAGCTCGGAAACCTGCTTTATCTGCCGGAACCTGTGCCTCCACTTATAAGATGGGTTTTTACAAATATTTTTTTAGGATTCTTTACAATCCAAAGATTACAAATATAACAAAGATAAATTAGGATAACAAATAATATAGCGCAATTTAATCAGTTCTGCGGTTGTAACAATATGATAAGAATAGCTAGTAGAGGTGCTACAAAGAGCACGCGAAACAAATTATCACTTAATTATATATGCTATCGTCGTCATCATCACCATCGTCATCATCATCATCATCATCATTATGATGATCATCATCAGTAGCAGCAACGTCAACAATATAATCGTCACGATCATTATGACCATCATTATTAAGAATAGCAAACAGTTTTGTACCATTACTCTTTTATATTGTGGATTTTAAACAATTTTTATGCAATGTAAAGCATTATTCGTAAGAAAGTAATTTTGCACCAATAGAAAGATAATACATTAAAACGATGTTGTCTTTAAAGAATTTTTTTCATCGTTTCAATTTTTAACCATATCATCATTGTATTGTGGATGAAGTTGATTACGAAACATTTTATCCATCTACAATTCATCTTCTTCAGGCGAAGCTTCCGACTGCGCGTCTTTGCTTTCTCTCTCTTCCTCTTCCTCTTTCTTTTTTCTCTTTTTCAAAAGCATAACCACCAAAACACACGTAGCTAAAGCAACTAGTATGGCACCTATGATTCCTACAATTGAAAATACATTACTTGACGGAGGTTTTGCATAAACTTTCCCAGTTTTTCCGTTGCCTGCTTTTGTTGTTGCGCTGCCTGCTTCTGTTGTTGCGTTATTTTCTTCTGTTGTTGCGTTATTTTCTTCTGTCGTTGCGTGGCTTGCTTCTGTTGTTGCGTTATTTTCTTCTGTCGTTGCGTGGCTTGCTTCTGTCGTTGCGTGGCTTGCTTCTGTTGTTGCGTTATTTTCTTCTGTCGTTGCGTGGCTTGTTTCTGTCGTTGCGTGGCTTGCTTCTATCGTTGCGTGGCTTGCTTCTGTTGTTGCGTGGCTTGCTTCTGTTGTTGCGTGGCTTGCTTCATTGGCGTTTGCTGCAGTAGTTGTTTTGTATGAACAACTGATGGTGACTGTCCCTTTTTTCTTTACTTCTCTGCACGGCTCCACCTCTCCGCACCTCCCGTTAAAAAGATCGCATCCAGCCTCGAATACTTCCAACTCTGCGAGTGCACTGTGACCATCTTCCATTCCTTTGTCAGATGGTTGAATGAAAACAAATCTTGTGAGGATAGTGAAGTTCTCACAGAAGACAATCATGGGGTTTCCGCCCTGTATCGCTTTTTCTGGTCCGTACCCGCACAAGTTGACTTTGTCTCTGATGTCTTCTCTATTGCTCACATCGAACGTTTCGTTCAACCTTACAACAAACTTGTCCAATCTTTCCAGAAATTCAGTTTTTTGACTTATTCTGTTGTATGCTCTGATGAATCCTACGCAATATAAACTAAGCAGGTCGACCGCCATCCAGCATGGCATGTCATCAAATAAGTGGGATACGTGGTGGCCGTCATAGTTGCCGTCTGTTAAATGTATTTTGTTATGAGCACCCATCACGCCGTCGTGTTCGTAAATGTGTGAACTGTAATAAGGAGGTTTATGCAAGGCTAAATTCTTCCTGAAAACCTCACATTGGTACCATTTGTTTCTGACCTTACCAGAGGGACAGACGCATTCAACGTACTTATTACCATTCACCGTGGACTCAATACATTCCATTCCAACGGGACAATCTCCTCCACCTGATGAGCAATCTCTTTCTCTGCATGAATCACCTCTCCATCCCGGATCGCATCCATCGGGACAGTTTGCTGTTATTTCGTAACTTCCGTTGTTTCTGTTTCTGCAGTGAGAATAAGTCGATACTCCTCGTTGGAAGTCGTATTGGAAGCGTGTTGCGAATATCGTTATTTTTTCCCTATGACCCTGATGATAACATCTGCAAACTTCGGATCTGTTACTTGAGCAGGTCATACAAATTAAATTTGTGAAGTAGCTATTTCCTGTACCATGTTCTTGAAAGCAACCGCATCTTTTTGACGGGTCGATCTTCTGGAAAAACGTATAATTTGTCTCAAAACAGAAATGTGCGCACATTTCAAATGTGTAAGTGTTTGGTAACGTTATCAAAATGACATCTGTCTGACGTGTTTCAAAACTGGCATAGTCATCGTGCGTCTTTCGTGGCTTGCTTTTATAAACGGAATATGAGTCCCTTCCACCACAAGCATCTCTATTGGCGCAACGAACATCACACTGGGATGAAGCCACTGCCGAATCTAACCTTCCAATACAGTTGCATTCTTTTCCACTCTTCAAAGCGATCATATTGTTACTTTCATCTGTGCACTCCAGTGAACATTCATCCACTGAGCCAACTGATGCAACTGTCTTCGTTGAGCTGATGTTTCGATAGCATCCTATGTAAGATTCCTTCAAGTCGATTGCTGCATGGGCTACTGATGAGGACAGGTTGGTGGATACAATTACAAATGCACAAACGATATTTAACATTAAAAAATATTGAAAATTAGCTTTCATGTTGGCATACGTTTCAACTGTTTACATGTTCGATTGTATGACGTCCTCAGGCTCATCTAATGTTTGAATCACTTAAAAAAATACGATGGGTCTTGTATTCTTTTTTTATTTTTAACTATTTGTTTTCTAAATTACTTTCAGTCGATTGCTTTGTGTCTGTGTAAAATTATAAACAGAAGCGTTTTCGAATTCTTAAATTTGTGCTAAATATCAGCTTGAGCAGGGCATATCCGTTTTGTTTTTTACCTACCTATCTACATACATACATGCATACATACACACATACATACATAAATACATACACACATACATACGATACGATACGTACATACATACATACATAATTACCTATATACAATTATTTAAAAATGAGGAGCGAAGTAATATTTTTAAAGTGAAAAGGAATTCTTAGCATACTCTCGAGTGCAAGGACGGATGGATGAATGGAAAAATGAATGAGTGAATGAACGAATGATTGAATCAATGAGTGTTTGAATGAATTAATAAATTAATGAATAGTTAAGTGAATGAATGAAAAAACAAACAAATGAACGAACGTGTTAATGATAATAGAACAAACGAATATTCGAACAAAAAACGAAAGAACGAACGAATGAATGACTGAATGAATGAATGAAAGAATGAATAAATGAGTGAAATAATGAATGAATGAATGACTGAATGAATGATTAAACGAACGAACGAATGAATAAATAAATGAATTTATGAATGAGTGAATGAATTAATGAATGAATGAGTGAATGATTGAATTGGTTAATCAATGTCTGATCTGAAAAAGGTATACACAAGAAATAAATAAAGAAAAGACATAAAATAAAACTTCATTCAGCATAAAATTAATTAGACAAAACAAAAAACAAATTGATAAATTAATAGACAGACGAAATCGCGGACATAGTGAATGAATAAATGGATAGAGAGATAGAAAAACAAACCATCCCACCAACAAACAAACAGTTGACACGCACATGTTACGTCATTGTGTGTATTTGCTTGTGTATGTGTGTGTGTGTGTGTGTGTGTTTTGGAATGAATTAATTAATAAATGAATGAATGGATGAATGAATGAACGAACGAATGAATGAATGTAGGGGGGTATGAATGAATGAATGTATGTATGCAAAACAAATAAAGAAATGAAAAGGAAAACAAATTTAAAAATCAAACAACATGCAAGTAAATAAAGGAATAAAATACATATGAATGAGTGGACGAGTGAATAAATAATGAAAAATGAATAAAATGACTTGCCTGAAGGAATAATATTATTTTTTTTTATAATTTCAATGGTCACGTCATAAAACAATCCATTAACAATTTTCTTTTTCATTCATTTTTCTGCTTATCTGACTGTCCAACGTTCATTCAGTCGTTCATTCTGTTTTTCTTTTAGTTCACTCATTTATTTCTTTCCACCCATCTGAGCGCTCGTTCAACTACGTTCGTTCGCTTATTAATTAACTAATTGTTTTACTCATTCATGCATTCAGTCAATCAATTATTCATTCATTCATTCGTTCGTTCGTTAGTTCGTTTATTCATTCATTTACATATTTATTCATTCATTCATCATAATTCATTTTAAAATTTGCATTGCAAATAAACTTCCTCAAATTTCCAACGCAAGTCGCAAATCTTCAACGTATGAATAAATGAGTGAGAGAATGACTGTATATAGCCTTCATATATGTGCGTACAGTACACACACACGCGCGCACGCACACACGCACACACATAACTTCACAGACGCATACACACACACACGCACGCATTACACATACACGCAAACAACCACACACATGCGTTAAAATTTGAAAAATTTTTTTACTTGGTCAATTTTTCATAACACTCTGGACATCTTCTACGTGTTAAAACTGCTGGCGTTGTCGGCTGGATGATAAACTGCTGCTGAAAAAAAACATTTAACGTTGGTGTGTGTGTGTGTGTGTGTGTGTTGCGTAAATGTTGGTAAGTAGGTGTGTATGTGTGTGTGTGTATGTGAGAAAGAGAGAGAGAGAAAGAAAGAGAGAGTAAGTGTGCGTGTATGTGCGTGATCGTGCGAATACTCCCATTTCCATGTTGATACGCATTTAAATACCTGAATATGTGTTTTAATAGAGATTGAATACATCAAATATTGCTAAAAATTAAAGGAGAAATATTTAAAAAAAAACTCAAAACATCCCAGAAGCAGCATGATGACGTCAAATAATTCTTTTAGAGCTTGATGATTATCAAATAACAAAGGAAGAAGGAGGAAAATGAAGAAGAAGAAAAAAAAGATGAAAAAGAAGAGGAAGAAAAAATGATGATGAAGGAGAAGAAGATGAAGGAGAAGGAGAAGAAGAAGAGGAATATGATAATGATGATGATGATGATGAAAAGGAAAAAAAACAGATAGAACGCTGATAGAACAGGAAATTATGCGCCACGAATTTGACGAAACAAACCTTGTATAGGTATCAGCGTGATTAAAATAAACAAAAAAAAACCTCATTACCTCAACAACGTTTTAAGATAAATGTATGAGTGTTTGTATGTGCGTGTGTTTGTGTATGTGTACGTGTCACTTGGTTTGTTTTTGCGTCTGTGCGTGCGTGTGTGTGTGTGTGCGTGCGTGTGTGCATGTGTGCGTGTGTATGTGTGTATGTGTAGAGTCAACTTGCTTATTATGTGTGCAAAGCACTTTCTACTATAATACTTCTCAGGCTAGTTTGTAGTAAACGACTGCTTGATAGATAATTTTCTGGGTAGTGTTTTTGATTCTATTTAAATTTTATTTAAATTTATTGAATTTCAATTTAACTTATGTCATTTTAATGTCTATTTGTATTGTCTTTGGGTTTCTTTTTTTCATCTCGTTTCTTTTTTTTCGCAAGGGCAGTTCTTTTTTACACCAAAAATTAAAAGTTTGTATTCTTTCTGTGCTATGGCTTTGATTGTTGAGAGGTTGGCTGATTGATTGGCTGCAAATGTTTCAATAATAATATAAGAAGAAGGAGGAGAAGAAGAAGAAGAAGAAGAAGAAGAAAAAGAAGAAGGAGGAAAAAAAAGAAGAAGAAGAAGGAGAATAAAATTAATGATGATGTCAAAACTATATACTCGAAAAATTCAGTCATTGGGCTTATGGAAATCGAATTGAATTTTTAATCTTCAAATTAAAATTAACCAAATGAAACACATCAAAGGGTAACAATATAACAGTAAAAAAAATAATAATCACAAAATAATAATAATACAAAAGCAATGATTGAACATCAGAATGATTTTTCCTTTAATAGTGACACACACATCTGTAGTTACCAGCAATGCATATGTTGTTGTTATTATTGTTGTTATTTTTATTATTATTATTTATTATTATTATTATTATTTATAACATGTAAAGTACGAACAAACGAAAATGGCGCTTAATAACAGAACCTTGTGTAATCTAATCTATAAAAAATGTTGATGTTTGTGTTGTTTTTGCTATTGTTAATGTTGTTGTTGCCGTTGTTGCTATTGTTGTTGTTGTTGGTGTTGCCATTGTTGTTGTTGATGTTGTTGTTGTTGCTGTCAATTTTGTTACTATAAAAAACATTGCGTGTGATTACGACTCAAGTTTAAGAATGTGTTTTGTGATTAAATTTATTTTTAATCTTGTACAATGGTGAAATTTCATCTACTCTTATTTATGCTATTTTACACGCACGCACACACACACACACACACACACGCATACAGACACACACGCAAACACACACACATACAGACACACACACACGCAAACACACACACGTCCGTACACACAGACGGAAACAATAATGTCGTTTAGTATAGGTCCCTTATAAATAATTTAATGAAAATCCGTTTGAAGACTTTTTTAATTATTTGTGGAGACTAAGGACCCAAAATTATTTAGTAAAGACTCCAAATTTTTCAATTTTATTGACAAATTGCTCGTGAAAAAAAACAATTTTTCAACGTTCTCTCCATTCAAAAATTTTTGCCTCCATTCAAAGGGTTTTTCACGCAAACTTATGCAAAATTATGTCGAAGTTTCATTTTCGTTTCCGTGAAGGCACCCTTTTTGTTGATGTATTACACATCCAAGCACACATACACATACAAACAGACATACGCATACAGACACACATACAAACACACACAGGCAAACGTACCTAAGCATCCAAACACACATACACATACAAACAGACATACGCATACAGACACACATACAAACACACACACACACACGTGCAAACGTACCTAAGCATCCAAACACACAAACACATACAAATACAAACAAACACACATGCTCGCATGCATACACGGAGCCTGTGTTAGATAAAGGTAGGTTAGGCACACATGCGGAGAAAATAAACAATGGAGAATTCCTAACTTAACGTACGTACCACAACATCACCGTTGATAAGTGAATATGCATCAGTCAGTGAATGAGTCTGTTTTCAGTATTCCTAATTGTTTGTTTGTTCATTCGTTTATCTATTCATTCACTCGTTCGTTTATTTATTCGTTCATTAATTAATTAATTCATTCATTCATTCAAACGTTCATTCAGTTATTGTATCATTTTTTCATTTGTAAGGCAAATTATTTATTTATTATCCATTCATTCATTCATCAATTAATTCGTTCATTGATTGGTTTGGTTGATTGATTCATTCGTTCGTTCGTCATTCATTCATTCGTTCGTACGTACGTTCATTCAATCGTTTGTTTGTTCATTCATTCATTCATTCATAAAATCTGTATTATGGAAAGAGATTAAAATGTGAAAAAATAAATTGGATAACTCCGAGATAAACCCACTGCTTTGAACTAGATATACATAAACCATTGCATATTATGTGCGCATAAATTCAAGTATGTATGTGTACGTGCGTTTATATGCACGTGTGTGTACGTGTGTGTTTTTAAAACATACATCATACATCAATCAACAAATTTGTGTGTTCTTGTCTATGTATCCACAGCCTTCACACACGCACGCACACACAAATATACACACACTCACAAAAACACACGCACACAGCCCATGTGAATACGCTTGAAACCGCGCATAATCATTTCTATTGCACGTGATATGCGGAGACCTGCTTGCATTCGAATGTGGTCACTGCAACAGTAGGATCAGGTACTTTAACCATTGGGTCATCTCGTCACCTAATATGGAATATTTCTCAGACTATCGACCTTTCGTATGAAAAATGATGATGGTGGCGATGAAGATAACGACGACGATGATGACGGTTTTGATAATGATGATAATTATGATGATGGGAAGGAGGAAGAAGATGATGAGGATGATGAGCACTTGGCTTGGAAGCACTTTAGTTTCAATGGAAAAATGAATAACAAGGGTGTTAATCTCTGCTACATACCACATATACAAACCAGTTCACGCACACACTTACACACACACACAGATCTTAATTTTTTCCCCATTTCCAAGAAATCACTCCAGCACTAAGGACTAATTGAAAATTCGCCTTAAAACATTTCAGTCAAATTTTAACGAACCCACCTACCTACACATTTCTTGTCAGTATTTCAATTTAATGGTTACTAGATCAGAAAAACACAAAAATGTACATCTTATTCATTTATTCCTTCATTCATTCATTCATTTCTTCGTTCGTTCGTTCACTTGTTCATTCATTCATTTGTCAGTTCACTTCGAAATAAAAAATTCGTTCAGTCATTCTTTCATCCATCTAAACATCCATTCATTCTTTTAACATTCAGTTTATTATTCATTCATTCGTTCGTTTTATTGTACTCACAAAACTGCATTCGTACAAATTAAGCCGTACAACCTGGTCTCCCTCTCTTTCTATCTCTCTCCGTCCACACACACACATAAAATCACATACACGCCAAAATCACACACACACATATCATATACACACACTCATGCACACACAAACACAACAGCATATACTCATACAAAATCACACACATCACATACACACGCACATACATATGATACATACATCATATACACAAACAATATCACACACACACACATACCCATACACACACATATACACAATATCACATACACACACAAAATCACAACCACATAACATACACACGCTCACATGCACACAGGCGGGTAAACACATATAAAAATATGAGATGTCTGTCAGCATCATCAGGCTTTATCAGCTCTGCTCTGCTAGGTCGTCGTCGAGATAAAAATCTCTAAATAAGGTGTGTCGTAAGAAAGTCACACACACACCGAGCTACCAACCGAGAATGAATGAAAGAAAAGATGGATAGTGGATAAATGAATGAATGCATGGATGAATTAATGGATCGATGAATGAATGAATGAATTAATGGATGGATGGATGAATGAATTATTGAAAGATGGATAGTGGATGGATGAATGAATGAATGAAATAATGGATGGATGAATGCATGAATCCGTGTAAGTCATTTTACCAACGAGCCAAGCTACGAACCATGAATGAACAAATGAATGGATGAATGAATGAACGAGGAAAAGGGGTTCACATCGTGACCGACTTAGGAAAATTTTTCAATATAAAATAGAAACTGCTTAGGAACAGCTTAGCCTATAGATTGGCTGTGGATAGTAGAAAGAGAGAGAGGGGAAGAGAGGGGGGAGGGAGAAAGAGAGAAGGGAGATGAGAAAAACGAATGAAAAAGATTGAATGAATGAATTTGTGAATGAAAGAAAAAAAGGAACAAATGCAAAGACAAACAAAGAGAAAAAGCAAGAAAAAAAACAGTAAAAAAATAATAAAGAACGAGTGAGTGAATGATTCAATAAATAAACGAATGAATAAATGGAAGAAGAGAATGATGCACATTAAGAAGAAATAAGCACCCACATTCAAGTACTGATTCTAAGGCATGATACGTGCCGAGACAACGCAGAAAAATTTAACAACAAAAAAGTATTGCAAGAAAATAAATAAATAAAAAGTTTTAATAGCATAAACCATTCATAAACAGAATATAAACAAAGTAGAAATATATAAACAACAGATTGGTGTTCACGCTCTCAAACTATCTACCCATCTATCTATCTATATCTATCTATCTACCTACCCCAATTAACTATTTGTTTCATCTGCCTTGTTTAGCGCCAAAATATAAAACTAATTTGTCCATCTTAACTCGGCTTTAACTCATTCCTAGAATTAATTAGTTCATTCATGATTTATTTCTTTAACTATCCATTCATTCATTCATTCACTCACTTACTCATTCACTTAATCATCATTCATTTACTCATTCACTCAATTATTTATTCATCCAACTAATAAACTTCACCGAATTCATCACATAATTTAACTCAAAAATTGATAAAACCTTTAAACCGTGTAATACTTTATTACATAAAAATGTATCATTTAATATCAACGTAATAATCTATATATCTATACGTATATATCTATATGTATGTATATATATATATATATATCAATATATATGTATATCTATATGTATGTATATATATATATCGATGTAATATCAACGCTATATTATATTGTCAAATCATCATCATATTCGTCGTCATCATATTAAAGTACGTAATTAGACAACATACGAACAACACATAGTAACGTTTAATTAATCTACGCTTAATTAATTAATTTAATTCATTCATTCATCTTATATTACTCACTCAGTCATTCACTCGTCGCCTTATCTTAATAAGCAACATGCTTTCAACACCACTTCAACTACGGTATAACCAACATCTGCTGTCTCATCATCTTCATCGTCTACTCAGTTTAACCATCATTTCATCATCATCAGTCATCTTCATCACACTCATACACACAAACAAACACACATACACAGACATACACACAAACCTCACGCACATCGTACGTACGGACAAACGAATTCTGAAGATGTGTGCTTAACCTTACTAGCTATTTTTAATAAGCTTTTTTGCGATACGAAATGAGAAGGATGGAGAGGGAAGGAGAGAGAGAAGGAGAGAGAGAGGGAGTCAACTAGACATAGATACATATAGACATAAATAGTGAGACACCTAAAATAGAAATACACATTGGTAGATAGAGGAAAATGAAAGATATACAGATATATATTATATACATATAGATAAACGTAGAGAGAGAGAGAGAGAGAGAGAGAGAGAGAGAGAGAGAGAGAGAGAGAGAGAGAGAGAAGCTAAGTGAAAGCGACAAAATAAAAACCTAAAAAAAAAAGTGAAAATAATTGGAAAGCATGTTTTTTAAAAGGGAGCAAAAAAATATCGAAAATAAAAAAAAATCTTTTTAATTACATTTGCTGCCGTTACGAGCCTGAAGCAATTACGTCATAAAAAAATAACATCAATAATAATAATAAAAATAATAATTGCAGTTGATGACGCAATGTTTACGCGCTTACGTACTTCCATTGAAACAATACGCATGCAATAAAGGACAACATCATCATCACACGCTAAACAATCGAAATCTTTAGCATGCACAGTGCACATGTTGAAAAGACAATGACACACACACACGCACACGTACATAACCACACACACACACACACACACGCAGGAGAGAATAAAAACATCAAAAAGCTAATAAAATTCAATATACTCGTCACTGGAACTAAGTACATAAACTTCTATCTTTTTCAAATAAATAACAAGATTTTTTACGCGTATGCACACACACACACGCGCGCGCGCGCGCGTATACACACACGTATATTTATGTCTGTCAATCAACAATATGTACATTAAATAACCAAAAAAATTAAAACTTCCATCATTATGACGTCATCATGAATCACACACTTAAAAAATAAGTAAACGAGCGAATACATGTACAATTTATTTTTCAATTCAATTCAACAGGGTTCTCATCACCGAGGTTGCCAGCCACTATCATCATCATCATCAAAATAATCATAATCAGCAACATCATCATCATCAGCATTACTATCATCATTATCAAAAACATGGTCCTCATCATCGTCAGCACTTCACTTCACTTTCTTCTGTGCCTGACCAATGTTGCACTGATTGACCTGATTGAATAATAAATTTAACACCATCCTCATCACATCATTAAAACTCTACATTCTATCATCATCGTCATCGCCACCACCATTATCATCTTCACAACCATCATCATCATCATCATAATCTCCATCATTATCATAACAACTACATCTTCAAACTGACCTGGGTGGCAAACCTCAGAGAGTTCAAGGTCTCCTGGAAGCACTCCTCCTTGGGCGAGACATTGACGAACATGAGCATCTTGCTGCTGCCACCGAGGCAGTTTTGTAGCAGGTGAGTCAGCTTCGAGTTCCGGTAGGGAACGTGTGTCTCCTGTGTGTGTGTGTGTCCGTGTCTCTGTGTGTTTGTCGGTCTGTTTGTACGTCTGCTAAAAAACTTCTTTAACCTTGCAATGTAATAAAAAAAGTAACCCCCTGACCTTATTAGCAAGTGCCATTATGACGTTGCTTAAGTTGGCAAGACTCTTGTTTATGTTTTGTGTCTCCTTTAACCTTTGACCCTGGGAGCCAGATTCTTTGAGGCGCTCACTGCCAGCAAGATCGACCAGGTTCAACAAACCTATTTTATGTAATGTGTGAAATTTAAGTCAAAATTGCATGCTATGAAAACATATCAATCAATCAATCAATTAATCAATTAATCAATCAATCAATCAATCAATCAATCAACTGACCAACCAGCCAGCAAATTATCCAACCAAGCAACCATCCATCCAGCCAAACCAACTAACCAACACAAGACTCGGCAGTAACACTGTTGGAGCCGGTGATCTTCATCCTGAAGATGCTGTGACTTCGAGACGATCTTTCGTTGCACTTTGTCTCAGCAACTGAACGGTTTTCAAGTGCCCTCTTCAGCAGCACTTGCACCTTATTGCAGTTGGAATAGAATCAAGTGATTATAAACCATTCATCCATTCATTCATTAACTCATTTTCTCACCTATCCATTCATCCATTCATTCATTCATTCGTGCACTTCTTCAATCTCTCACTCACGGCATCCTGATGTTGGACTTCGACTGTGGTAAGGTCAGTGACAAAGACTTCATTGGTGTTGGGTCCGACCAGCTTGATGTCGTGCTTCGTCGAATCAGCTTGACTCCTCGACTGAACCAGCAAATCTCGAATCGTCTCGTTGTAGATTTCAAGAAATGAGACCTCAATCTTGTACTTGTTTTCATGGGTGGGCAAGATGGCGGTGAAGGTGAGTAGAGAATTGATGAATGATGATGATGATAAACATGATTCTAAACAGTAACCAGTCAGCCAGCCAGCAAACTAAATAACTTACAATCCATCCCTTGCTAAGAAGGTCATCCCTGGTGGCAAAAATCTTCTCGACAGACCGCGGAATCATGCCCCTGTTATCACCCGTGCCCCTGCCTTCCATTGTGAAGGTCTTGCCCGATCCAGTCTGACCGTAGGCGAAGATGCAAACGTTGTAACCATCGAGAGCGCTCTGAGTAAAGGAAAGAATCAAGTTGATGAGTGGGTGAAATGAATGAATTAATTGAATTGACTGATGAATGAATGATTGAATGGAGGAGCAAAAAATTTGGTGATTGGGTGAAACATGAGCAAACACACACGCGCGCGCGCGCGCACGTACGCACACACACACAAACAAAACTAACTTGGACCAATTGAGATATCTCGTGAAAAACTTCAGTTTGTGTTGAAGATGGTGGGAAGACCCTGTCAAACTGAAACTCGTACTTGTTGTTACTCCCTCTCCTCACTGACGCTACACTCTGTTTTCAGTCAATCAATCAATCAATCAATCAATCAATCAATCAATCAATCAACCAACCAACCACCAATTAATCACCCTACTATAGACAAAAGCAAACACCTCACAAACCTCATTAGGCGTAATTCCAGCCAGCTTCTCGAGTTCCAGTATCTTTTTATCTGGATCTGGAAAGTTGATGTGTTGAGGCACATCACTGTCCATTCCTAACAATTCGTCCCCGAGTAGCGGTCGAACTCGACTGAAAACTCGTATGTTGCCCTAATTAAGGAGAAAAAACATACATGCAAATTAAGGCTCATTAATGCTGTATTTTACACACACATGCAGACGCTTACACACACAAACTCACTCTACACATACATTCACACAGCTCCACACAAACAAACACACTCACACATACACACACACACAAACCTTCAACTCCTGAATAGTGTTGTGAAGTTTCCTCCTCATAGACTCCTCCCTCATTGACTGCACCCTGGCCTCCTCCAACTCAACGGTGCACTCTTCAATCTTCGACTTCATCATCGATATCTCACCATTCTGTTCTTTTATCCTTAGCTCGTGTTGTTTTATGAGCACCTGTGTTGTGCGCGTGTTTGTTTTGTAAAGTGTTTGTGTGTTTGCAAACATGCATACATACATACAAACAAACAAACATACATACATGCATAGACACATACACACAAGCAAACAAACATACACACATACAAACAAGCATACTCGCACACATACATACATATAAAGCACTAACAAAGAATTCATCAAAACCTTAGCAGAGAGCAGATCAGCTTCAACAGCAGCTTTGCCAGCTACAGTAGAAGCTAGAGAGGCTTCCAACCCAGCAACCTTGGCATTCAGGGTACTAATTGTGCATTCAAGCTCTTTCTTCTGCTCATTTACAGATTGCAATTTTGATTCGTAATCGTTTGTCTGTTGTTCGTGACGTCCCATCTCCAATGTTCTGACATCCTCTTTCTCTCTTCAGGGTTGTAACAACATTTCTTAAGTCATTATTTCAGAATTATTTCGTGATTAAATATTCTAATAAAATTAAAAACTAATAAATTTACAGTTTCGAAATTAATTTATTCAGCAAATAATTACTTAATTATATTTTCCAACTCTTGGATTCTTGCCTGCAGAGCTGTTGAGCTAGGAGGTTTTTTGGGAGGGAGTAGTGCCTCAGTTGCCAGTTTCTTAAACTTACTAACTGCTGTTACTGCTGCTGGACCTAAAAGTTGCCAAGTTGGAAATTCGGTGAGACATTTTATGTATGAAGTCGATTTTAGCAAAAGTAATCCAAGCAATAAAAATCGTAAAATACAGATGGTAGAAAACAAAATTTAAAAGTCGCCTGACTAATAATAATTAGACTCACCCCTTTGAACTGGCCTGCTAGATGTTGGGACATTTCGTTTAGTGGCAGATGTAAAGAGAGAGCTATACGATGCAGTTTTGACCAAATGATTTTTTGGTTGTTGTTTAACTGGAATTGAAGGCTTTTGGAGGCCAGTGACCTTAGGAACCTGGCTTTGAGGCAACCTTGTTGTCGGGACGGAAGAATGATTTGTGTCCCCAGATGATGTGCTGCTACTGCTGTCAGAAGTCATTCGCTGCTTCTTTGCTAATTGCTTGAAAGTAAAACTAAACTAATTAAATATTAAACTCAATGAAATTCTTCCTAACAATAAAATTATAATTAAAATAATAGTTAATAAATAATTGTTAAATTATAATATAATACTATAAACTACATGAATCAATAGAGAATAGAAGCATCACAAGTTTCTTGATTTTAACAACATTCTGATAAAAAATTTTCCAATATATTATAAATAAAATGTAAAATAAGAAACCTTCTCTTCTTCCGAGCTATTCTTTCTTTTATGAGTCGCCGTAACGCCGCTCAGTGGTGGCAACACGGTTGGAGCTTTCAATCCGGAATATTTTACTGGCATTGGTGCAGGCAACTTACTTGTTAAACTTAACATTTGGAACTTGCTTTTTTCTTTTTCGACATTCGGATTTTGAGCGGTGAGCACCTGCTAAAAGATTAAAACAAAAAGGCCCGATTAGGACTTCAGTCATGGAAAAATTAAAATTAGGCAATTTTTATTAATAAGGATGATCTGGATCTGAATTTCAGATTTTTTCAATCAAAATAATTTAAAAAAAAACTTACACGATCATTCATCTTTTGAATATTATTTTCATCCATGAAATTTCATAACAATCGATTAAAATTAATTAAATAAAAATAATAATTAATAAAACTTAATTGCCGAATTTTTAAAAGATAACATTCAAAAATCGCGCAATTTCACGGAAGTTATTTTTTATTGGCTGCAAAACCGAAACAAAAACAAAGACTGTAAATATTCAAAGTAACCAAATTACAGCTAGTTTTTTGACTGGCACACCATAAATTTATAATTAAGGACTCTAATAATTTTCTATATAGAGAAATAATCTATTAAATCATCTGTTTTGAATGCTGACATAACCGCCTAAGCGCTAGAACGAGTTGGAACTTGGTTCAACCGCACGTTCTACCACCGATGTATGTACGAAATTCAAACTCTTACGCATGCATATGTAAACGATTGGTGAATTTCAATTGTTGGATATAATAATGCTATGTACTTATAGATTTATAAATGGCATAGCCTGTCAAATTAAAAACACCTTTCGCATTACTGCTACTACTGAACCTACCACAGCTAATAAAGTTAAATACCCAATTTACGAATAAGTGAACGTAACTTTTCAAAAAATTTAAGGATAAAAATCAACACGGCCACAAATAATATCAAATTTTGATCACCCATAAACTAGACATCAAAGTACAATTGAAGAAGTAACTTTTCAAGAACTATCACAATAAGACGACTTCGATTTTGAAAAAAATCATATAAAAAAATAAAATAGAACAATTTAAATTATTAATTTAATACGCACAGACACACACGCACAAACATCAATGCATCCGATGCATATATGCAGACCACTCCTTATGGCAGTTTGTGAAGCTTCTGGCCTGATGAAACCACAACTGAACTGAACCTGGGTCATGGTCTGTCTGACGAAAAAACTCATCCCACGAGCAGCTTGTTTGTTAACGCTCTCAACTATAGTCCGTATGTGTGGTGTGTGTGTGTGTGTGTTTTAGACTCACTGTGACAACTGAGTCTAGGCAGGTTGGAATAAACAACTTCCAATTAAATATTCGCCTTTTTCCTGCAAATTTCAAAGACTAAATTTAGTAAATCATCATCATTATCATCATCACACCATTGCCATCACCCTCATCATCACCATCATTATCATAATTACATCGTCATCCTTGCAAAACGCCACCTTCTTAATTCCTCATGTTTCATGAGCAACTCCCTCCTAGCCAGGTAAGTCTTTCGTACCCGCATGCATCTGTACCAGCTTTGAATCTTGAGGGCAGATAGTTCTTGCATGAAGGTCAAGGTCAGAGCCCCTCTACTCATCATCTCCTGGCCGATGTCCTGGTGTTCGTTCATCAGGGCGTAGTCCAGAGGTGTGTATCTGTGCGTGCGAGCGTGCGTGTGTACGCGTACGTTGATGTTCTTTTCATGTACGTGTGTGCTTACTGAGATGATGATGTATGAATACCACCAGCTGAAATCAGCTGCTAACAACAACAATGTAACAACTACTACAACGAAACAACAACAACAGACCTATCATCAGAGTACTCCATGACATTCAGTTTGGCGCCAATGTTGATGAGGAGTTTGATGACGTCAGCATGCCCCTGACTGCAGGCCCAATGCAAACTCGTCATGCCCTGGTTGGGTGGGGCAAATTAAAAAAGGGTGGTGATAATGGATGAAGCGGGGCGAGAATAAATGTTAACATCTTCATCCTCATTTTCATCCTCCTCATCAACACCAACATCCTCATCGTCATCATCCTCAACATTATCATCATCATCATCATCATCACCATCATCATCATCATAACCACCAACATCATTATCCTGGGCATCAGCATTGGACTTGTTGTCGACTAGCGTTGAAACGCAGCTTACCGATCCATTGTAAGAGGCACAGTGTAAGGCGGTTCGACTGCACATCGTCATCGTCATCATCATCATCGTCATTATTGTCATTTTTATCGTTTCACTGTCATCACTGACACACACACACACGCACGCACAAATACATACATACAAACACACATACACATACGTACACGAATACACACATATATATAAATATATATATACCCATTCATAAAAACACACACAAACAAACAAACACAAACACACATACATACACATGAAGAAACATACAAACCCAGCATTGTCGGCAATATCAATTGGAAGGCCTTGTTTAATGAGGAAGAGGCAAACTTTGTCGTTGCCCCCTAGAGCTGCCCTGAGTAGATAGAAATCAAGTTGCTACTTAACGATCGATATAAACAACACACACACACACACACACACACACACACACACACACACACACACACACACACACACACACAAACCACAAATCACCCAACAACCCACCAGTGTAACGGAGTGCACCCATCTTTGTCCCTCCTGGCCATCATAGCCCCCCTACCAACAAGAACCCTCACGACATCGAGACCCCCCGTCTGGCAGGCCCCGAAAAGGGGGGAGTGTTTCGAATGGTCGAGGACGTCGACGGGAATTCCCAGGTCTAATAATAACTGAACTGTCGAGACGTGGCCTGCTATGGAGGCCATGTGGAGGGCTGGAGGGGGCGGAGAAAGTATATCTCGAGAAGGTTCGTTGCATGTTTGTAGCAGTTTACAACAAAATTACGACAAATAAATATGGGAAAAATTACAAACAAAACAATAACAAATTAAACAAAGCAACAGCAACAACAACAACAACGACAACAACAAAAACCACAACAACAACGATAGCAACAACAACAACGACGAACAACAGCAGTAACAACAACAGCAACAACACCGTACCACTAGCTCCCCACTTATCAACGGCACTGACATCGACAAGATTGGAGCCTGACTGTGCCAGGTACTGCACGACGTTATTGGCCCCGTAACTGCACGCCCACATCAGGGCTGACCTGCCCTCGATATCTGGGTCATCCTTGAAATTCGGTCGGTTCAATAATACTTGCACGGTTTCCTGCTCGTTTGTTTGTTTATGTGTATTTTTGTCTGTCTATCTGTTTGTTGTTTGTTTGTTGTTTATTTGTTTGTTTGTCTGTCTGTTTGCTTTTTTGTTTGTTAGAGATATAAAAGATATGTAAGATGGCGCGGATGAATGAAAAATAACTGCAATAGGAAAAACGGAATCAAACTGAATGGCAATGAAAGGGCTCACCTCAAACAGACATTTTCTATTGGATGGAATATTAACATTCAAACATTCACTAGTGAAAGAAACAAGAACAAAACAAAACACAGAAAACCAGCAACAAAAAAAAACTCTT